AGCCCATTCACCATGCCGAGTGACATTTGGGAAGGGCAGGTGCCACCCCTGGCTGTCAAGGACAGGGCTTGCTGGTCTAGAGGTGACCGGAGTAGGCAACAGTGGCCACAGCAGCTTTGGGCAGTGTTGGGATCATTATCCACATCAATCATCTTCCTGGACCTCAACATTGGGGTCATATTAAGAACATATTAAGAATATGTACCTTGGGCTAATCAGAATCCTAAAGGGAAATTTCCCCCGTCGCTCCGCCTGCAGATAATAACGCCCATGCTTATTGCTGCTCGGTATCGGAGAGGTCTGGAGCAGAGACTTGGACTAGGCCCATGACGGCTCTGTACCCAGTCCTGGCTCTGCACACAGGCAGCTGTGTGGCCTGGGGCACATCCCTTACCTGGTCTACACCTCATCTGTAAGACAAAGACAATGTTACCTTCCCCACGGGGTGGTTGTGAGGTTTCAAGGGGACAGGCAGGTAAAGCACTCAGAACACCGCCTGGAACATGGGCAGCACTAAATAAATGTTGCCTGCTGTAATTACCACCATTAATATTGCCCTTGCCTTCTGGATGAGGAATTGAGCTGCAGAGAAGTTGAGAAACATGCTCAAGGTCACACACACACATATGCACAGAAGTGGAAGAGTAGAAATTCAAATCCAAACCCAGGGGTTCTGACCTCAAAGCCCAAGGCATGGTGCACCTGAGGAGAGATGACCTCAGGCATCCAGACTTGGGAACCCAGGGTCACCTACGGCCATACCACTCATGCCACTGTTTCACCCTTTGGCATCCGACTTAAGAATGGTGCAAGGAGAAATTCATGCAGTGCAAAGCTGCGATGCTTTCCGCTCCAAGTTGACTTTGAGGTTGCATTAAGAAGCAAGAAAACGTCAGCAAAGCCAGCCTCCCTGGCTCCAACAACCCTGTGGCAGGCAGATTATTATTATTATCATTTATTTGTTGATGGATATTCAAAGCCATCCGTCAGGTCTCCCCTCAGGCCAGGAAGCCGAGGAGGAACAGGACTAGAAATCTTGAGGCTGGTTTCGCAGAGCTGCTCGAGAGCTGAGAGTTATTAAAGTACACTCTGCTATTGCTATCTGCTCTGTGGGGTGCCTGACCCTACATCTGACTCCAGGCCCCGCCGTCTCTGCAGCACAGGCAACAGAAAGTCATACAAATTGCAAAGAGGGACTCCAGGGATGAGTGCAGAGGAAATGGTGGGAAGGGGGAGGCTGCCGGGGGGTGTTGGAGTGGGGGTTTCATATCCTTGTTTGTACCTCGCTGCCTTATCCTTTCATTACTCCACAGTCGCGGGACCCAGGGAGACCAGAGGATGAAGAAACTGCCCAGGGAGTGGAGGGAAGGATGGTACTGTCGATGGCAATAAAAGTTCATGTAATAAGAGAGGAAAGAGTGACTTGTCACCTCATGTCACAAGAGTCAATACTGACCACATCCCTCACAGGGGGCTTTCAAACTTTTTTTTTGACCTTGACTCTGACCCACAGTTAGAAATACATTTGGCGACATGTCCCATCAAGGAAACAAAAATTTTCATTCAAACAATATTTGCTTTTACCACGTGGGATGCCCTCTGATATTTTCTGTGATCTTTTGTTGTTGTTGTTGTTTTAAATCTTGGGGGAGACCCACGAAATTAATCTCATTACCCGCTTTATGCTTTGGGAATCAGGATACCCTGAGAATGCAGTCAGAGAATCAACATTTTTAGCAACAAGCACCCAGATGACTCTCTTGCAGGCTGAACTATGCCTTGGACCCTGAGCTGCTCCAGCCTGCCTGCTGAAGGGGTCATTGAAGTCATCCGGGAATTCCCAGTGTCCGGAGTTGACCAGCTGGGTCATGCCTGATCTAGGTCCATGAGGGCTAATTTCGTGTGTCAACTTGGCTTGGCCAGTTGTTTGGTCAAACAGTATTCTGGATGTCTCTGTTGAAGGCATTTTGTAGATGTGATTCTCACTTACAATCGGTTGACTTTATGTCAAGGAGATTACCATTACCCTCCATGATATGAGCGGGCGCCAAGCAATCAGTTGGAGGCCTTAAGAACAAAGACTGTTTCCAGAAGAAAAAAAAAAAAAAATTCCGCCTCAAGACTGTAACAGAAATCCTGCATGCAATTCCAGCCTGCTGGCCACATACCAAAAACTTGTCAGCCCCTACAATCATATGAGTTGATTCCTTAAAATAAATCTCTTTTCATATATACATATATATAAATATATGCATAGAATACATAGATATCCTATGAGCTCTGTTTCTTTGGAGAATCTTGTCTGATGCAAGATCTCAAGTCAAATTTACTGTTAAATAAACTTCTTAATATATAAGAAAAAGAATCTTTCTTCTGGCTACACAGTGGAAACCACAATGAAAGGGGAGGAAAACTGGATGCAGAGACACTATAAAGGACTATTATACTCTCACCTACACTTGGGTAGTGGGAATGGTGGGAAGAGGGTGTGTTCCCCAGATATTTATGAGCATATTCCATGGGAATTAATAGTTAATTTGTTAAGGAGTTTGAAGGGGGAGAAGTAATATAGAATGACACCAGGGTGTTGTCTTGGCTTGGTAAGTAGACATAGAAAACAGAGGGAGCAGTTTTGGGAGGAAAGGTGATGAATTAAAATTTATGCATATTATATCTGTGATGTTTGCAAAAAGCCTGCAGCGGAAGACACCTAGTAAGTAGCTGTATACATGAGCCTGGAGCTTAGAATCAGATGCAATCTAGAAAGAGAGATTTTAGAGTCATTCACCTATAAGCTTTATTTGAAAACATGAGGATAGATATGTATATTATTAAAACATGAGCTCGAATATAAACTATCTTAACTAAGAAAAGGCAGGGAGGTGGTATTTACTGGCTCATGTATCTAAAAATTGCAGGGATGTGCTGGCTTTAGACACAGCTGGATAAGGATGTCTGAATGTTCAAATGTCCAAATGCTACCACCAGGGATCAGTCTCTCTCCCTCTGCTATCTCAGTGTTTCTCTGCTTTCAAGGTGAGAAATGGCCACCAGCACCTCCAGGGTGACATCCCACAAATATAGTAACCTCCATGAAAAAGGACTACTGCCTTTCAAATAAATCCAGCAGAAGTTCTAGGACTGCAAGTTTGGGCTGTTCCCTGAGCTCTTATATGGTTCACATCTCATTCTGGTCTTGAATCAAATGTCAGTTTCTCAGTGAAGACTTCCCTGACCACACTCTTTCAGATAGTTCCCTACCTCAACCACTCATCTCACCTTTATTCTACTTTATTTTCATAACACTTATTACTACCTGACATTGTCTCATTAATTAATATATACATTTAATAATTTGTTGATTATCTATCTCTATATCTAGAATATAAAATTTGTGAGCATATAAAATTCATGAGAATATAAAATCCATGAGCATATAAAATCCATGGTTCTGTTCACTTTGTGGATTCTTGATCTCTAGGACAGAACCTTCTGGCATATATTAAGTACTCAATAAATATGTGTTGAATTAATAGGCTTTGACTATGATGGGAGTATTTATACCAATGAAATTCTTCAAATTATGGCTCCCCCTCCCCCACCAAATGCTGTTTTTTAAACATTTACCAGTGTACCAGAATCTTTGAATACTAAGAATCATAGAGACATTCTTGGTTCAACCAAAAAGAAACAAAACAATTTTCTTTTACTAAAAAAAGGGTGGAATGGGTGCTTACAGGGCCAAAATAACAAAGTTGACTAGGAAGAGCTCATGGACCAGGAAGAGAGACATATGGAAGATAAAATTTTATGGAATACCATATTTATAGGAACCGTGCATGAAGAAGCCACAGAGCATACATGGAGAAGGAACAACCAGAAATAAGAAAATCAAGTCACTGTGATGTCACAGAAGCCAAGAAGAAATTGAATTGCAAGGAAGAATACATGGTCCATTACATCTTATGCTGCAGGGATCAAGGAAACCTAAGGTGGTAATTAACAGCTAGGGTCTTTATTCGACTGACAAGATGGCAAGAGTCTGACATCCACGTTTCTCTATTGGGCGGGATTAATGTATGAAAGGTCACTGTGTATACATGGTGGCTGTCTCTTTTTCTCATCTCTTGGGGTTCTCTGTGCCTGCAGGTATAAGGTGAGGCTGTATACTTTATGCTGCTCATTGGAGTGCCATTGACACACCACACCCTTGCCTCTCCTTGAGTGATTATTGCCTTCAAAATATCCCAGCTTTGCAATGAAAGAGAGAAGTAGCTAATGACGCTATGGAAGGGCTTTGAGAAGCTTTCTAGAGCAAGCTGGAGACCATTCATGTTGTGTTTGAGTCATTTGGTTTATGCAGAACTACACCGTTGAGGAAGAGGATGGTGACCTGATGCGGGGCTGGGTTTGCCAGTTGCTTCCTGTTTGCGTGCCCCATCTCCCCACAACCACATTCCAAGCGTCTGATCAGAAACCACAAACATCACTCACCTAGGAATCTAAGACCTAGGTAGTCACAGACTCGCCACTGTGCTCCGTGATCCTTCCTACATCACTGAACTGCTCTGAGCCTCTGTTTTCTCTTCTGTAAGAACAAGAAGGATTGGACTACACTATCTTAAATGTGTCTTCCGGATCTAAATTTTTATCTCTGTATTCGAGCTACTTCTATATTCCCCAGAGTATCCGGCATTATGTGGATTGTTCCAGTAAATATTTTTCTGAATAACTGAAAGGAGAAGGAGCACTATGTTTCCTAGTATTAGTATTACTAATCACTATCCTAACACAATAATACACCCTATTAGTACCAGAAAGGAAGGGGGACTGGAAAAACATAAGGCAAGCCACAACCAAGAAAATTAACATCAGACCAGACTTCATAATTCATGGATTAAGAATAAGGGCAACCTGTCCTGACCCCCTCTGTAAACGGTTTATAACTATAAATTCTAGAAGGCCCTCATATATCCGTCTCATTTGAATCATGACCTTACCCCGCGGACAGTGTTGTAACAAAGCACCAAAACGTTCCTTCCTTGCCTTGGGCGTTTCACCGGCCGCAATTCTCACTACGTGGACCCCATCACGGTAGTGACTTGTCATGGCTGAACGGGAGAGATGATTTATATCAATTAGAGCTCTTTGGTTAGTTAAGAAATTAACTTAACGGGGTAAAAAAGAAGCAATTGTTGGAAGTCTATCATTCAGCTGGAAGAATGAAAGGAAGAGCTGGTTAACCAAGCACAAGAGGGACAGGAGCCAGGCAGCTCCTATGCTTTTGCTGTTAGACAGCTCTGCTTCCTTCTGTCTCTGTGTGTTTCTGCCCAAGATCCAAAGGCTGAGACAAAACCCTGATTGGCCTGTTCTGGGTCAGATACTTACTCTCAACATCAAAGAGCAGTGACTCTTCCTGGAAGAATGGTGTGTGTGTGTATAGCGCATGTGTATGTTCATTGTATGTAAACATAAGTATTGTGTGTGTGAATATGTGTGTATGTTGTGTGCATATGTGTACATAGGTGTTTTCATGGATGTATCTATATTTGGTACGTGTGTATGTGAGTCTATATGTGTGAGATTGCATGTGAGTATGTACGTGCGCTGTGAGTTTCTAAGTGCGTGTGTTTGTGCACATGTGCAGGGGAGGAACATGCTGGAAAGGTAAAGTCAATAGCATCAGATAGTTTTTGGTAACATCTCTAAGACAATTTTGAATTTCACATGCATTCCCTACCAGTTACATGACTAGCTACAAAGCCTATTCTCCCTAAGCACTAGTTACTGTCCTCTATAAAAGGGGCATACTAATATCTGCTTTTCAGGGTTGTTCTGAGGACAAGACACTGCATGTATGCAGTAAGTAGTATGACTGGCACAGTGACCTCAATAAATAGGAGCTAATATTCTTACCATCTTATTATCTCTGAGAAGGCCTATGATGCTCGTAAATAGGTCAAAAGCAAGTCAAAAAAGTCCTGTTCAATCTCATTCTTCCTGCCCCAAGAGCCTCCACATTAGGAAAGTTGCTCCCTTCCCTGTCCCCAGGAGGCTATTTGCTCACTCTCAACTCAGGGACTTCACTAATGCACTTCTTTCTGCCTGGCATATCCTCTCTTCTTGCAATCCCACACCTAATTTTTCTCCTTCCTTCGAGACTGGGCTTGAACTCATCACCTCTGTAAAGCCTTTAAAACCCCCTCCAGTCTCCCCAGTCTCCTGCCCCGTTGAGTGAGGACAACCCATAGAGAGATCGTGACTAGATCTGATGGTTGTGACTCTCTGGGGTGCTGTGTTGAGAAGGATTCTGCGACCCTTTCCAGAGCCATCAGGAAAGAGGACCTTAAAGAATTAGAGGTGTTGGCACAGGGTGCAAGAAGTAGGTGTCATGAGCTATCTAGTACGTGGTTCTGATGTTGCCACACTAGCCTTTGATTGTACACTGTCTTGCACTGTTCACTAAATGCTTCCAGTGAGCTCTTTCCTTGAAACCAGGGACCATGTCTCATACTTTTCATTTATGCCCCACTCTAACTAGCGTGGTGCTGAGCACAAGGCAGGGATCAATTGACGCTCGTGGGAGGATTGATTCATTCCTTGACTGGCAGCCAAAAAGCATGAGGTCATTACTACAAACTCAAGAGCATCTAGGGATGATGAGCAAATACAACCCCACAAAATTCCCAGCAGGGAGCATTGGGGACAGTGGCAAGATCGTGGCTTTTTAGAATCAGACAAAACTGGATTGAACTCAAGTCCACCTATTAACTGGTGATCTAATGGCCAGGTCATGTGACCACACCAAATCTGTTTTCTTGTCAAAAAACTGGGCCTAATAATATCCACGTTCCAGGGTCATGGAGAAGATTAGAAAAGATCGCACATAGAAAGGGTTTGGCCCAGATCTTGGCAGAGAAGAAGCATTAAGATATCTGAGTTTCTTGTTAAAAGATGAATAATGAATTTGAGAAGAATCCGGCAAGTACTAATAGCATCCTCATTGTCATTGTCATCATGATCTGGCAAGCTGGTGTCCCAGGAAGATGGTCCACACTTACTCTTCCTTGGATTGTGTCTCTGAGTGGCATTTGTAAGGAATGCCCCCTCCATTGCGCCCCACCAGGAAATGTCTGCGTTCGCAACACCCCGTTTGCAGGTAAGTTGGAGACCTTCCCACGAACACACAGGCTCTCTTCATGAAGGAGGCGTGGGGGCTGGAGAGTGCAGACACACTTTCTGCTGAATCAAGCCTGTATTTCTCAGGCGAGAGCTAAGCATATTTACACGTGCAGAACATCAGCCAGGATCAACGGAGACCCTGGATTACCTTTGCTTATGTAATTTTCTGGGGAAATCCAGGGCGTTAAAATCACTAACCACCCAGCATCCGTTGAAATCGGGCCTCTTTTTCGAGCCAAAGTCAATCTAGTTCTCAACCATACATTAACCCATGGACAGAGCATTTATTTTTAATAAGCGCTACCATTTATTAAGTGCTTACTATGTGCTAGACACTATGGTAAAAACACAGTCAAATTTGACTTAATAGACACAGTCAAATTTGATCCTCACGACAACCCAAAAAAGGTAGCACAAACTATCACTTCTCCCCAGATGTATGTAAAACTCAGCCAGTATCTGAAACACTGTGTTCCAAAGGTAATTAAAAGTCACAGGGACGCTACTGACCCCTGGGCTGTATCTCTGCCCTGCTAAACATTCAGAACAATCACTAGGAATCCAGTGAAGGGACATGCTCAGGAGTAAAACTCCCATTGTTGTTTCACAGCCCCCAGAGACTTTCCATAGAACGTCCATTACACCAGGTTTTGCTGGTGTAAATCACCACCCAGCACTCGATGAGAATATAGTTATTATAACAATTGCTGCATTGCATGATGCTTGTGCCATTCGGAAATGTAGGTCTAATTAGCTCTAAGCTGTAGAAGATTTGAGTATGGTAGTTTCATTTTGGCTTAATGCTTGGTGCCTGGTGTAAAATCTGAATTTATTACTCTTTTTTTTTAATCATTGCTGCATGGCTCAACCAGTCGTATCAAAACTACTGCACGTTATAGACTTTAAAAAGTGATTCCCTGTAGGCATTTTAAGGTATAGGATCTATTATGGGAAGATATATATTTGACAGCATCCTGTTTATTACTCAGTTCTGCTACCTTGTTCATGAACCCAGTGAAAGATGTGCACAGTGGTAAGTCACTCTTGACTCCAGGAAGAAGAGAGGCAGGGCAAGTGTGTTGAGTCTGTACCAGAATCAGAGAATCAGATTCTATTAATATCCAAAAATATTTTTCCATTAAAAGTAGTATGTCTCAGCAGTGGATAATCTATGTTACAATTCTGACCATTTTTAAGAACAAAACTCAGGTAACATCATTCTTCCTACCCTAGCCCCTGAGAACAGTTATTTGGAGATGGGAAAGGAAAGCATGAATGTGATTCTTTCCTACGTGTATTTCTTTATTCTATTTGTGCCTGAACTAGTTCAGTTTACCTCCTCCTAGCTGTAGAAGGGAGCCTGGTCAAAGAGGGCCCATAAAAAGTCCTGTGTAGGTTAAGTCAAGCACTTCTGGGAATGATTGGAGGCACTACTTCCTACCTCCACTCCCCACTTGGTTGCTTGGCCTCCCCATTTTTTCTTGTTATTTCTGTGTTGCTCTCCAGGACCTTAGGTTGTGGCTCTTGTCAGCTTCTCTGCCTGGCCTTCAGTCTGGCTTTACCCCAGGTGACTGCTCTGTAGCCCTGGGGCCACCAGCAGCCCATCCACGTGGAACCTGTGGCTAGGCCCAGTGCCCCAGGACTCCGACTCCCTGGGCTGGGATCATTCTATATTTGGGGGGAAAGGAGGTTTCAGATAAAAAGCAAAGTGAACTGAGGCAGGTGATCCCACTCAGTTCCAGTGTGTCTCTTTACTCTGCCCTATATAGGGTCTTTGGTGTGGTGTCCTCCCTCCTGCCCCTCATGGAATTCATCACTGTCTATGGAGCCCTGTCATCATAATGGCAGTACAGAGTTGGAGAAGTGTCATAGAGAAGCTGTCCCAAAGCCCTGACCTCACTGAGCTAGTGTACCAACCAACCTGGGAGCCACCTACCTCTAGAATTCTTACATGCAATAATTCTATTATTTAAATCACTTTCCAATAATATTCTGTCATTTGCAACTGAAGGCATCCTGATTAAATCACTGGGAATACTAAAATCTTCCATCAACAAATTATGCAAATAAGTAAAGAAGAAAGAGCATGAATGGACTTGAAACTCGGACCCAGATGCACATCTTGATTCCCCCAATTTCATTTATTTATCTGTCTCCCAATGGGGCTGTAGCCACTTGAGGGCGGGGAGCATGTCTGGTTGTTCTTTGTTTGTAGAGGGACCTTACTAGAGTCTTGTCCAAACTTAAATATCTTGATTGGAATCCAGACTCTGCCACTTACTAGTAGTGTGATCTTCAGCCAGTGATTTAATCTCTCTAAAGCAAAAAAAAAAAGTAGGAAAAATAGTACCTACTTTTAATCTAGGGAAGTAACCAAAAACATACTCAAAGTTTTCAGTTCAAGAAAGTTTATTAAAGCTTTATTTATACTGGGAGACGCTGGAAACTAAAATATTTAACAGTAGGTGACTAGCTAAAGTACAGCACACACGTACAACAGATACACATTGGTTCTAGGAATCTAGTGCCGGGGAGATGCTTGATGTATAAGTTATATGTTATTAACCCAATGGTGAAAAACAATGTCATACACAAGAGCAAATATCCTAATACATACATATACTAGTATATGAACATTTATTATTAAAACAGGATTAGATTTTTTAAAAAGAAAAGAAAAATAGTACCTACTTTATGGAATTATCATAAAATGAACTTATTTAAAAGGCAGTTAGCATGGTTTTGTATATTTACCATCTACCTAGAATACATCCTGACATTTAATAAAAACTTGTCCAATGAGTGAATGTATGAATGAATAGCACCTTTGTTTATGTTGCTTTAGGTGTTCCAGGGGCAGAAATCTTGGAGGCTTGAGATACAGAAAACAGGCTGATCTTGTGACACGATAGAATTTTTAGAATCACAGGCTCTAAAAGCTTTTTAAGCCGGGCGCAGTGGCTCACGCCTGTAATCCTAGCACTCTGGGAGGCTGAGGCGGGCGGATTGCTCAAGGTCAGGAGTTCAAAACCAGCCTGAGCGAGACCCCGTCTCTACCATAAAAATAGAAAGAAATTAATTGGCCAACTAATATATATAATATAAAAATCAGCCGGGCATGGTGGCTCGTGCCTGTAGTCCCAGCTACTCGGGAGGCTGAGGCAGGAGGATCACTTGAGCCCAGGAGTTTGAGGTTGCTGTGAGCTAGGCTGATGCCACGGCACTCACTCTAGCCTAGGCAAGAAAGCGAGACTCTGTCTCAAAAAAAAAATAAATAAATAAAAGCTTTTTAGCTGCTTATTATCAGGCTTCATGTTTCCTTCTCCATATTTAGGAATCTCTAGTAAGATTTGCCCAACGCGTCTGCTTCTTAGGAAACATTGTCTTCTTCGCCTTGTTCCCAAAGGTGCAGAGTAGAGATGCCTGCCACTTTCGTGCATGATGTCAGCTTTCCAAAGCTGAAAGCCCTGAGCTGACTTCTGGGCTGGCCCTGCCCGTGTCTCTGCACCGCCCTTTCCCTCTCCCGACCTTGGGAAGCTGCTGCCGTGGTTGGTTGGTAGTGAGCAGGAATCACAGGCTGCCTGAGTTCTCAGGGTGAAGTGTGATGGGATAGTAGCAGCATCTCAGACCAAGGAGCAATGCCAGCGCACAGATGGTGTTTGGGCTTTTAACATCTAGCCACTCAACAAACATTTCTGAACATCAACCACAGGGCATGCACTTGTAGAGGGTGCAGTGGAACACCACCCACGTCCTTCCTTCAGGATGGGTGCGTTTATTCCCACAGCCCCAGGGAGGATGGGCTACTGAAGGCTTTATGCTGAGATTCTGCCTCTTTTTGTGTAGAAGCAGCTACACCCAGTGACTGCTCACTTCCGGGGTACAAAGGTCTGGCCTCCTTGCCTAAGTTCAGGGCAGCTATTCCATCCTGAGGCTGCAGACCCTGTTGCAGTTACATCCACACCTACTTCTGCCCCATCCTGGCGTGAATGTTCACATCCGCACAGGCGCTGCTGCTCCACACATGCCCAGCAATCCCCTGCCCTCTAGCCAGGGTCCCTTTCCAGGAAATCTGACCTGAGACAGAATCGTTTCAGTTGCCAGAGACACAGCAATGAAGAGAGCAGAAATCCTCATGGTGCTTGCATTCTAGTGGTAGGAGGTGCAAGTGAGAAAGGCAGAAACAAATAAAAATATAACATGTTGGGTAAGTGAGAAATGCTACGAAGATGAATGAAACAAAGCAAGGAGAATAGGAAATGAAGAGGGTGCCATTTTCAATAGTCTCTGCAGGGCCGGCCTCCTTAATGAAGGGGCATTTGAGCAGAGATCTGAATGAGTAAGTGCAGCACGTGGCTATCTGAGGGAAGAATATTTCAGGCAAAGATCAGGGCAAGTGGAAGGCCCTGAGCGGGAGGTGTGCTGGGTATTATTTACAGAATAGTGAGGAGGGGGAGAGAAAGCTATACTTAATCTGTTTTTAAACTACCATTGTGACTGCTATGTGAAAAATAGTTTGGGGCAAGGGGCAAGGGCAGCAGTAGAAAGACCAGTTAGGAGGTTAACACAGTCATCAAGCCAGAGGTAACCAAAGAATCTGAGGATCTCGTTCTATGCGAACATGTAAGTTATGCAAGAAAACACACCCACCTGTGTGCATGCCCCTTGCCCAGCACATGAATTTCCAGGTCCCCTCAACCCTCATTTCAGGAGACTGACAGCTGGATACAACTGTTTTTTTCCAGAAGTGAGTTGTCTATCAGGTGTTTGACCAGAGATGTGATAGCTGTAAAGGTGGGGAGAAGTAGACAGATTCCGGATATATATATAGTAGTGGCAACAAGATTTGCTGAGGATTAGATATGGGAAAGAAGGGAGGAAGGGAGGAAGGAAGGAAGGAAGGAAGGAAGGAAGGAAGGAGAAGGAAGGAGAAGAAGGGAGGGAGGGAGGAGGAGGAGGAGGAGGAGGGAGAAGGGGGGAAAAGAGAAAGAAGAAGGAGGAAGGGAATAAACAAAGGAAGAAAAGAAGGGGAAAGGGAAGGGAAAAGAAGGGAAGTGGTCAAGGATAATTCCAAGATTTGACCTGAGCAACTAAGATAAAAGATACTGTAGGGAGAAATAGGCTTGAGAGATACAATCCAATTGTTCAATTTTAAGCACGTTAGGTTTGAGACATCTATTTGACACTTACATAGAACTTTGAGTGGGCAGTTGGCAGTCTGGAGTTCAAAAGAGAGGTCCACACAAAGATATAAAGTTTGTCATTATCAGCACACAGATGGTATTTAGAACCGTGAGACTGATGAGATCATTAAGACTGTGTGTGTAGATGAAGATCTTGGGGCCCTAGGGCATTCCAGTAGCATTTAGAAATCAAGGGGATAGGAGACAAGAAAGGACCCTGAATAGGAACAGCCTTGAGCCAGGAGGAAAACCAAATGAATATGGTGTCCTGGATGCCAAGAGAAGAAAGTATTTTAAAAGAGAAAGGGAGAGATCAACTGTTAATGGGTTGAGCAAGATGAGGCCTAAGAATTGATGTTTGGATGTGGCAATATGGACTTGAGGCACCAGCAATTTTGGCAAGTGATGTTTTTCTCAGTAGTGGGAACAAAAGCCAGAATGAAACAAAAAACCCCAAATGGAACAGTTCTTGAGAGAGTGGCAGGGAAGGAAACCCAATCAAGTAACAGGATTGCCGGGAGTTCTATGCAGAGAAAATGGTTCAGAAGTTGAGCCCAAGTTCAAAGAGCGCTGTGCTTGAATAGTGATGTCTGCCGTTAAGTACAGCTAGGGAAAGAGTGGCATGTATAACACATATTACCATTCTCTTTCTAGGATATATTGTGGCTCATTCCATATTCTCTGTACACCTTTTGATGCTATTGATCCATTTGGGGTACTCATTAACAGTGAAGTTAATATTGTTCCAATAAACTCCAGATATTCAACATCTGATATTTTCAACATATCAGATGTTTTTCAACTTCCAGATATTCTTGAATGGAAAATGATGTCGTATTAAATTCTTTACCTTAGCTGGATAGTTTTAAACCAATTTCTGGTACACAGTATAAAGCAATTTATGAGAAACCTCAGTATCTTCAAAGAAGTCTAGATGTCTTAAAAAGATATTGTATCTCTCTGTATAATTTAACTTATTAACCAAAGAGGCTTTAAAGGGTAGAAAAGTCAACATTTGGCTATGCAATGCATACTTGCATTTTTTTATCTCCCTTTTCTCTGGGAGACAAGACTAGATAATTCAGATGTCTGCCTCTGTGGCTCTTTGTACAGTTATTTTATTTTCATTAAAGGTAAAATGAGGCTATTTTTTAATCAAATGGCCACAAAATACAGTGAGAGAAACTAGTGGAAACAGAAAACGCACAGAAATATTAAAATGTAGATAATTCAGCAGCCAATTAATTCCCAGCAAAACCACACTCTCTTCCAGTCTTACGTTCTATCTTAGTCTCCAAAAGCAGATCTTTGGTACTCACTCTCCTGGGGAAATATTTCCTAGAAGGATGCTTGCTATGGCTTGAAAAACTTAATTTCCCTTGGAATTTTCATGTCTGCATTCTAATACAAAACTTCTCAGAGTTGGAAAATGTCTTCAGAATTATCTTGTGCAAACATTTGCCCTGTGTGTGAACAAATCCCTGGTGCACTATCCCAGACTGATGGCACTCCAGTCTCTGGAGGTTAAACACCTCCAGAGACACACAACTCACTTCTGGAGAAACCAAGTCCTTCCGGCTGTCCGCCTTCTGAAATGAGGGTT